AAGTAATAATAGTAAGGAGACATATCCCAGTCCAAAGATGAAATAAGTCAATTGGGACAATCTAAACTCTCCGGGATCCTAAAGAATTGAGTGAAAGTATACCACAAAATGACCCATGAAAGAGGAGACCTAGAGCAATAAATAGTCAAAGTCAAGTGGGAGGTGTTTATAGAAAAGCTGGCATGGAGATGTGAGTGGGTCTGAGTACACATGTACACACATGCTTACACACACACTCATGTGCATCATGTTTAATTACCTAGACCATTTCTCACGCCATTCCTGCCTTGAACAAAGTATAAGAACTTGAGTGACTTAGTTTACCTCTTTGGTCTGTTCATCACTTGAAGGACTCCATAAAATGCAAGAACCCTCTGAGGTAGAACATTTAAAAATTTTATTCTAATTTCCTTAAATCTCAACAGCAGAGATGTGCAAGAGGTCTAGCTGGGTCTGTAACACCAGAAGCTTAAACTGCTCTGAGGACTTGAAGTTTATCTTACCTAGAAATTGCGTAGAAGATCTACATTTGCTGGACCATACTGACAATTAATTAATTAAGACACTACATGTAAAAGAATTAGATTACTTCTTGGACCAAAAACATGCTTCGTATTTTTTCTAGGTAAAGTCTGTAAGTGCTCTTGCAATAAAGCCTTCAAAACACACAGAAGAGTGAAAGACCACTGGAACCAACCTTAAATGTTCCCAGATTGTTAAGGTTGTGGAGATTTTTTATGTGATTTTTACAGCTTGATTTGTTCCCTCTAGTACATCCAGTTATTACTTCTTAAAACCATGTTGTCTTTACTTGTGGTATGTCCTTTGCTCTTTATTGTTGTTTGTGTCTGTTCCATAAATGCCTTGGAAGAAGATAATCATGTTTGTAGAGTTGTATATACTCTAAGAATCAATATGATCTGATTCTCCTGTGAATAAAATGTTAGGCTATGTGTTGACTTTGTAAAAAAAAAATTATGTTGTCATTATCACACAATGACCAAAATTTTTAAAATGGGAATTGCATTGACTTCTTCCCCTCTTGCACCCTGTCCCCATTCATACATCATCTCTACTTTAAAAGCAGCTCAGAAATTATCTGCCATCTCTTTCCCCCCACTATAATCAAGCCACCAATATCGCTACTGTTCTAACATGATTTGTCGACTCCCCATTCTGTTTCACCTGGGCAAGAATTATAAAAGTCAAGGAACCCCTACCTTGGTTCTCCTCATTTGCTTATATCTCAGCTCAATTCAGGACAAACTATAAGGCCAGAAATAGGGCAAATTATTTCTTTTGGAATAACATAATCATCCTTCTTTGTATTTTGTTTTCCTGTTAAAACTTGTGTTGCTAAGAGATTCATGATTTGGCAAGACTCACTATATTTTTTTTACTAGAAAATCCTGGCTATTTCTCCCTGACCATTGTTTTCAAAACCTCCAAGCCATCCTCAGAGGCTCCATCACCCTCACCACAAAAGGAAACTAGTTGACTTTTATGTTTTCCTTAAAGCTCAATGGAGAGCCATAACTGGTAATGAAAAAAAAAGCTTAGTCTATTCGGGTAAGTGCCAAGTTCAGGTTAAGGTTCTCTAATCTTTATGCAAGACTGTCTCTTTGCTGGTCAGAGGACACATAAGGAAATTCTGTCCCTTTTAGGAAGGCTGTTAATAAGAGGTATACAGAGAAAAATCAGTGAAGTTGAGACCATTAGAAATAGTATTCCATAAATAATGTTTAAGTGAACTGTATCAAGCTTGGAAAGGACTTCCCATGTACAAGGGAAGTTTGACTTTAGCTATGGATTGCCTCAAGGGAAGACTGCCTACAATGGGTGAAGCTCATAGGCCAAAGATCAGAATCCCAGCACTGTGGCTCAAGCCTGTAATCCTAGTTCCTTGGAAGGTTGAAATAAGGAGGATCACAGTCGAGGCTAGCTCAAGCATAAAGTTCACAAGACTCCATCTCAACCAATGGCAGGGCATGTGGTATATGCCTGTCATCCTCAGCTACATGGAAGAGTTAGTTCAGGCTAGCCAGGCCATAAAGTGAGACCCTATCTCAAAAAACAACCAATGCAAAGAAGACTAGGTGTATGGCTCAAGTGGTACCATGCCTGCCTAGCAAATAAGAGGCCCTGAGTTAAAAAAAAAAAAAAGTAAAACACAAACACAGCTAATTATACACAATGGAGGAGACATGACCTGAAATGGAATGTCAGTCACAGAAAAACATAAAGCATATGTTCCCTGTGTTCTAAGAAGGACTCAGGAGCTGAGATTTTTAAGCCTTTCGTTGTGAGATGTCATGTATCCACAGCAGTCTGAGTCTTTCATAATATTCTATGACCTATGGGTTTTCCTATCAGTGGAAAAACACTATGATTTCCAAATCCCTTTTAGCCAAAAGTGTTTGGATGATTCAAGTGAGCTACAAAGTGCCTTCAGGTCCATGATGAAAGATGCTCTGTAAATGAAAAGGGTAATTTGAGTCATAATAAATAATAGTAATGATGATGAATGCCACTGTCACAGAGAAGAAGCTGGCCTGCCATTTGGGAGCACAAAGCAACCAGCTGTGAGCTGGAAATAACATGTGTCCTAGCCAAGAAGGTCCCCAGTGACAGAGACCACATTAACCTTTAAACCAAAGACCTGAAGCCAGCCTCTGATTTGGGGGTGTGAGCACTGGAAATGGAGGAAACTTCAATACTTAATCCCTGAGCTAGAATACTGCCTTGGGCTTATACGACCTTTTCCCGGAAAGGTCATCTGAGAGCACACTTTCTTCCAACAGAGGAAAAAACTGAGTAGGTCAGAGAACAGACAGATTTCCAAGTCAGAGTTAGGATTCCAAGTCCATTGCTCTGCCCATTCTCTTTTAGATCCCAGAGAATTCCACGGAAGGAGAGACTTCAGAAAAGAGGTAACAAGGATGTTGAAATGGGATCATTTCCCTAAAGACACCTTGCTTAGTTGTTTTCCATCCATTTAGGCTGAGAAAGCTTACTAGTAAAATCCTTGGCCAGTCAAGCAGAGAGAAGTCAATCTCTCATGTCTCAGTGCTATTCATAGGAGTTAAAGGTAAACACTGCAGAGCTAGATGAGTTCTGTATGACCAGAGAGGACACTGTTCTAAGGTCTTGCCCAGTCCATGAGTCTAGAAGTCTCAAGGGCCTGTAATGAGGCTCACTGGTAAAGGATTTGACCTCCCAGTGCTTACAAGTGCTCAAAAACCAACAGTCATCATAGAGAAAGAACAGGGACCCCACTCTACCCCAGAGTCATCCATCAAACAAGTTCCACGTACAAAAAGAAAACAGAAAAAGAAAAGAAAAGACAAATGGGAGCTGCTAAGGAACCTGACCTGTTAAGAACAGATAGGTCTCCCATACAAGTACTGTGCTGAGTGAGATAAACCAAGATCACATGCTCTCACTCTTTTGTGCAACTTAGAGTTAAAACGATGATGATGGTGACAATTATGACAACAATGACGATGATGGGACTTGAATATGAAAGGGGGATGGCCTGAGGGGATCAATGGGAAGGGAAAAGGAAAGGATAGTGAGGGGGGAAGAGGATTAAAGTACCCTACATGTGTGTGTGCAAAGGCAGCATAACGAAACCCACCAAACACTGTTTGAAAAGCGGGGAGGAAGGAAGAGTAGAAATATAAGGAAGGAGTAAACTTACTCAAACCCATTCACAGTACAGACTTACAATACCCTCAAAAGATCATAAAACTAGTTTGAAAAAGAACAGATCAGTGCCTTACTTTTCTTTCATTTTTGGTAACTTATAATTTCATTATTCTAGTCTGTGGCTTTGGTATGCATTTGGCATGGTTTTACCTGTTTCATCACTGGTAATTTATGTTGTTGCTCTCGTTATATTTTATCAATTTTATCTTCTTAACCTTTTTAACTTATCCATCTTCATTTTAGGCTGATCTCTTGAAATTAGTCTATTCTGAGCTACTTAACATTTTTTTCTTTGTTAAAGAAATTATTTTATGTCTTAAAGCACTTTCTAAAGTCATCTTATTTCTGTTTTTGTCTTCTTGTTCTTATTTTTATAATATTTATTTTATCTCTTCTGTTTGATCATTTAGCTATTGCTCTATTTTCTGTATTTTAAACTTGAGTTTTTGTTTCCTTACTAATGATATTTTGAATTGCTAAACACACTTTTTTTCATGTCTAGCTTTTTAAATTTACCTTTTCTTTTAATACTTTCTATTTATCTTATATCTTGTTTTTCCATGGGACAAAATGTTCGTTCTTATAATAAAAAGAATCCATCACCATAGGAAAGAGCTTGGCTCATTGTCTCCAAAGTTTGAAACAGATATTTGTGAATGTGAATCCTGCCACACCCACCCTCTGGCCATGTGACCTCAGCGGCCTCATCTGGGCCTTACCTCACAAACCCAGAATGTCTTTCCAGCAGTCATCTTTCCATGACATACCCCCAAAGGCATGCAGAGGATGTGTAAGGAGAAGAAAGACTACAACCTTCTCTTCAGCCAACTTCCCATTTAGCTAAAGTGACAGCCTTGTGTTAGCTGCATCTAGAATCCAGTAAAATATAATTGTCAATAAAGATTTCTCTGCAGTAAACACTAATAAGCAAATGAAAGCATCAGTCTTACCTTTGAAGAAATCACAAATTGAGCTTGGAATTTGCCATTAACCTACCATGTGACTCAGGCCAACCATTTTATTTACCATTAACACCAATGTCCTCCCTTTTGAAAGAGGAGTGCTGGGCTAGATCATTTCCTCTGACATTAACTGCCTATGATTTTATACCTTTCTTTTCAAATAAACATGATGAGACTGGCATAAATGTGTGTGCAGATACATTGTTATTTGTGCCAGTCAACAGAGCTCAGGGAATTTATTCCTGCCATAATATCAAGACCTCTCCAAACACAGTCCTGGGATGAGACAGCAGTGTGTTACCGTGGGGTCAGGACAGGTGCGTGACATACTTGCCATTGATGACACCATCTGGGTTAAGCATAGGGATGATCTTGAAAATGAAGGTTTCCCTCAGGAGTCTTGCCACAGGGTCACTGCTGACCAGGAACTCCAAGGTCCCCTTCATCACCCAACTGGCATTGCTTTCTCCTGGGTGAACTCGGGCAGTGATTACGTGATAAGGACGATGTCCTGCAGAAAAGGAGACACAAGAAAATAGAGCCTAAATATGCTATTTCCTTCAAGATAGTTACTAGGGTATCAGAATTACAGCTGACACGCATGAGGTTTGAAATAGGTTAATTGTTTCAAATACATATCTGATCTATAGTTACCCATTTTCCATCTGCCTCCATGGTTTGTAGGACTCAAGAGAATATAAAGTTAGTGGCATGAAAAGAAGCCAGGAAGCAGATTTTAAGCCAATTAACTCTCCTGAGTCCATTTCATAGATCTGAGACTGAATCTTGTCTTTATCATTTGCTAACTGTAAGATTTTAGGCAAATGATTTGTTTTCTCTGAGGCTATTTCCTCATCTATAAAATACAGACAGTAATAGTAACCTCATATGGTTGCTAGAAAACAAAAATGATTTAAACACAAATTGTGTACAGGACAAACAAAACTCAGTTGGGTGTGGTGGAGCATGCCTGTGCTCCTAGCTACTTGAGACAGGAGGATCACAAGTTCAAGGACAACAGAGGCAAAATTAGCAAGATCCTACCTCAAAAACAAACAAACAAAAAAGGGTTGGGTGCATGGCTCAAGTGGTAGGGTGCTTGCCTAGCACATGAGATCCTAGATTCATTCCCCAGTCTGAAAAAAGAAGACAAAAGTCTGTGCCAGCTAGTCATTGGATAGAGATTAATATCTGAAATATATAAAGAACTCAAAAAATTAAGCACCAAAAGAACAAATAAGATGATGGACAAATGAATTGAATAGATAGCTCTCAAAAGAAGAGATTCAAATAGCCAATAGATACCTAACAAAATGTCTAACATCTTTATTAGGTCAATGAATTCTTTTTCCTGATATAGCATCTGCTTATGTAGTCCAGGCTGACCTTGAACTCTTGATCCTTCTGCCTTAGCTTCTAAGTGGTAAGATTATAAGCATACGCTACCCATCATGCCTGGCTCAATAAATGCATTTTTACTGACTACAGTGTGCTTCAGCTCCTTGTAGGTCATCTATACATTAGAGATAATATTGTTATACTTTTCCTTAAGCAGGTGTCTTGAATGTATTCCAGGATCTTCAGGAGGCACTGGGTAGAAAAAGTCGAATAAATTATAGTGATTGTTCTCTAAGAGGCCTTATCATTTGTCAGCAGAGACAAATATGCAAGCAAATAATGACAAGTGAGCTAACAGAGGTGTACAAAAAGCACCAAAAATAGATCTGACTGAGAAAGGTAAGGACATTTCCAGATATGTAATGGTATTTTGACTGGGTCTTGCAAAATAAGTATCATCTTACCAGAGAGAGAAGGTGAAAAGGATGTTCTAAGCAGAGAAAAAGGCACACACACAAAAACACAGAGGAGAGAAGGTTGATGTACTCAAAAATGAAGAGAAATTATGTGTGTCTTAAGCAAAAGACCAGAAGTGGTAGAACATGAATCTAGAAAAGTGGACTGGTGTCACACTGGGGAGATCCCTCCTTATATAGTTTGGGTAGAGAATTGAACTTTTCCTGTAGGTCAGAGGTTCTCAACACTGAAGCCAGCAAGTCACTGGTATTCTGTGATCAGTAATGGGGTCCATTGCAAAGTCATCAGTGACCAAGGAGAGTGGATATGGCTCTTATGATATTGCATATGGCACAAACCGAGGGATGCCTGCCCATCACCCTTTCTCCCCTACTTTCTACTCCAGCCCTGATTTGGGAGTGAGGCAGGAATTTACTCCAATTTAAATGCTTAGGTTCATGGATCATCTTGTAGGTAGGCATTACCACGCAACATTGCTGTAGCCAATGAGATGTAAATGCTAGCAGGGATGAGTCTTTTCGGACGAAGAAAGGGGACAGTTTCATGGCAAATGTCCATTTCTTTCTTTAATCTCGTCCTTGATCATTTCTTCTTCCTGCCTTGCTCATAGTCTAATATCTTCAGGTAAGGAAGCCAACTTGAGTATCACAGCTACATACTAAATATGGTGAGATAAATGTAGAGTGAGGGTTCTTGATAAACTCATTAAGTAGCTATATATACCTTCACTGGCTTTTTCAATGCTTCTGGATATTTTGGAACAGTAACTGCTATTTTGTTGGCCATTGCAATCATTTCTGTCTTACCTGCTATTAAACTCTAGTCTACATGTGAAGACAAGATCAGTATAAAATCATATTATATTTTGAATGGCATGCATTCAGATGTGGTTTATAAAGTGGGGAGAACAGCATTAGTTGTAGTGAGAACAATATTATATTTGACATGTAGTTTCCAGAAAAAAACAGTTGAAAATCACTAGTTTAATAAAATGGGAGCCACCCCAGTCAAACACTGGTGGCTCACGCCTGTAATTCTAGCTACTTGGGAGACTGAGATTAGGAGAATTGTGGTTCGAGGCCAGCCCAGGAAACTTGCTCATAACACCATCTCCAAAATAACCAGAGCAAAAATGAACTGGAGGTGTGGATCATGCAGAAGAGTACTTGCTTCACAAGTACAAAGCCCTGAGTTCAAACTCCAGCCCCACCAAAGACAGAGAGAGAGAAAGAGCGAAAGAGAGTCAATGATGGGTTTTTCATCAGGAGAAAGACATGCTAAAGACTGTAGTTTAGAAAAATAATTCTGACATTATTATAGATAATGCATTTGTCTAACCAGAGAGAGACAGTTTACCAGAGTGCATTACAGAAGAATTATAGATGCACATTTTCAGGACTCACAATCTACCCCCCCCCCCATTTACTACCTGAGATGAAATGTAAATTCATCTGAAGAAATTGAATACTGGATTTTGACTTAGTCTGTCTAGAGGACAATAGCAGAACATCATAGACTGAGAGGCTTATAAACAATAGAAATGTATTTATCACAGTTTTGGAGGCAGGAAATCTATGATTGAGATGCTGAGAGATTTTGTGTCTTGGTGAGAGCCTGCTTCTTGGTTTCTCAATGGCTGTGTCCTCACATGGCAGAAGCGACAGGGAGGTCCAGGGTTTCTTTTATAAGGGCACTAACATCATTCATGAGGGCCCTACCCCCATGTCATACTCACTTTCCAAAAGGGTGGACCTTATAAGTCCATCACTTTAAGGGTTGGAATTTTAACGTGACCAGACTAGCTCAGTCAGTGAAATGCAAGACTCTTAGAATTTCAACATGTAAATTTGGGGGACACAAGTATTCAGTCCATAGCACATTGTGTGTTCTTCATAGTAACTCACTAACTGAAACTTTATAAATAACCCTATTGGAGTAGGGAAGATACACAGTGAACTAGCTAAGCACAATTGAAATCAACTGGAGGTCAGCTTTCATGCTATGTCATTTGTTTGCAGTCACTTTCACTCCCTCCAAAGCAGGCTGTGTTGGCATCCAATAAAAGGCTTGTTGAGGAATAAAGAGGCTTGATGAATATGTACCCAATCAGTAGCTTATTTTCAGTTCTATAATTCCATATCACTCTCTTTGTGCTTTTTGAACTAGGTTCATTTGCAATGTATTAGATAACAATAGTAAGTGTAACTAGCCCAGTAAGAGGAAACAAAAAATAGCTTAAGCGCTTTTAAATTTTTGACACCAACTGAACACTTTCATTGTCTGGGCCAGTTGGCTTCTATCGCCTTATATAACCACTATAATGCAGAGCATCAGTCAATAAGCCAAATGCAAGCTCTTGCAGAGAGACCCCAGCATTGTGCTGCTTTCCTTGGAGAGTCAGGTTGATAATCTGCTGTACTGTAATACAGCACAAGACCTAGCAGGCTATTTTAGCATCCTGACAAAACAAATGAGGGAAAACTGTGGCTCTAATGAAGACATAAGCAGCATTTCAGCCTTTTCTAGCTGGTTTTCCTCTTTTCCCCTCTGTGATTTAAGACAATTTTGCAGTCATATTGGTAAGTTAAACTTATGGGACCATTCAGTTGTAGCAGCAAATGGTACTCCAGAGAACCTATAATAGATAACAGCTGTAGACAGTATGCATGCAACACACAGATACCATGTGCTTTCTTCTTGTAATTGACAAATTCCATCTTAGTAAATCATCTCAGCTTAGGGTTGGGCAAAAGGTGTCAGGTACTTGCATTGTTTTTTCTCTGTAATTCCTAAAATCTGTTCAGCCTATGAAGGACCATGTTTTGGCCATCTTCTAATTAAAAAGTTACATATTGAATTTAAGTCAGTGGTAACATCTTAAAGAGAAACTAGGAAACTAGTGGGAAATTGAATAATGTCTAAGATATATCAAGCTATAGGCCAGTGAAAAGTTGAGTGGAAACTGAAGACAGATGTGATGATAAGCATGTTATATCAACATACATTCATTTCTCCCTTCTTTCTTTCAACAATATATATTAAGTTTCTACTTAATATATATCAGAAATACTGATCTTCTCCCTTGGGGAACTAATAATTGTCTGGTAGAAAAGACAGGCACATGGATAATTAGCATGCAATGAGATCAGAGACATTTGTCAAGACAGTTTCAAAGCACAGTGGAATGCTCATTATGACATTATTTATACTAATGCAAACAGCTGAAATGACTTAAAAGTACATCTACAGGAAACTAGTTAAGGAATTGATACATAGAACAGAATATTATCGAGCCATTAAAAATGACATGACTTTTTCTGTTGACACACTATCTGAGACAAGATAGTGAATAAAAAAACATGAAAGAGTTACAACAGAGAAGGATTCCATCTGTTTGTAATTATAACATTTATTTAAAGACAAAGAGATACATCTGCATTGAAGGTCCTTTGGGTAATTTTTATGTCTTTTTACCTTACTTACATTGTTTGGCTGTTTAGAAAATAATGTATGTCAATTTTTATAAAGGCAAAATATTTTCAAATAGCAGGGCACCACAGAAGAGGAAACGAAGCACCACAGAAAGTGAGGCACCACAGAAGAGGAAGTGGAGCACCACAGAAGAGGAAGTAGGGCACCACAGAAGAGAAGTGGAGCACCACAGAAGAGGAAGTAGGGCACCACAGAAGAGGAAGTGGACCACCACAGAAGAGGAAGTAGGGCACCACAGAAGAGGAAGTGGACCACCATAGAAGAGGAAGTGGATTTCACATAGGGTGACATTGGATCTAGCTTACC